TGTAAAACCTCAATGGTTTGCTGCAATAATGTAAATTGAAGAAGAAAAAAATGTAATCACTAATAAATTTATATATGTTCAATGTTTTCTCTAATGATCTACAAGTCTCACAATTCGTGAGCTATTTAATTTATGTTTTTGAATAAATAAATACCTTTGCGATTTTTCTTCGTTTTCAAAAGTAAAAGGAGAGAGGGGGATCTATAACTGTTTAACAACGATCGAATGTCTCTCGTAATAATCCTCAATTTATCCTGAGAATAATGTATCAGTATTTCTAAAACTTTGATCCGAGTAAAATCATTCTTTCATCTACAAAAATGAATGCTGTTGTGGTGAACGTACAGGGTTATACCTTTATGGATAGTGAATTTTTTGTTAAAGAATTTTCCATCATCTCAATGAATAATTTCCAAGATGAATCGTTAGAACGTGCTGTGTTATTTCAACCTCCAAAAAATTTTGCATCTTTAGAGTGTGATTACCGAAATCAAATTTCATGGGATACTTATGCTATTTACGGAATTGATTGGGGATGTAGTGATTTTCCATATGATCATCCAAAAAAAGTCATAACGAATGCATTACAAAATGCAACATATATTTATGTTGCCGATGGCTTATAAAAAGATTTTTTTTTGAAGTTTTCAACATCGAATCAAGTATTAACTGATATTTCAATTTCTGGATATGGAACATCCAGTATAACATCGGCGCACAAACTTGTACATATGATACAAAACATCGAGAAAATATCTCCAATGAACAAAATATGTATCGTTTGTTCCAAGTCAACTATAAATATAGTGAAAAATACCTACATTTCGAAGAATACACGTTTCCATATGATTGTGCTATACTCGCCGTACAGATGCAACGGTTCTATATAGATAAATTCATAAACTTAACATCAAGACAAAATTTTCTATCCCTACTGTATCTAAACTTGGGAAGTATAGCTCAGATAGAAACCGAGGACATTTTCGAACTTGGCTTTTAAACAGTGGTGACCAATGCCTACAATGAAATCGATTATGTTTGGGAAAAGCTACCGTTTGCATGGAAACACCACCCACTGATAATTGGATACAAGCGATGCTTCGAACATTTTCATAAAGATTTAACAGAAGTTTTTTAAATTTAAAAAAGATTGTTTTATATTATAAAAATCAATTTGTATAAGAAAAACAATTGAATAAATATTATAAAAAAATAAAAATTATCTTCTTCTTCTTCTCATCTCCTAATACTTATTATACATAGATATATAAAAGGAAATAAATAAGGTTCTTTTTCATAAAAATGATAAAACATAAATATGGTTATATAGACTTTTTTATTTGATCTTTCACAAATGTTGAAATGAATTAAAAAATATACTATCCTTATTACTCATATGAAATTATACTTGTATAAAATTATTTGATACTGATTAATAAATTGAATAGTTGAAGACGTCTTTCTCTGAGGTTAACTGCAACAAAAAATTTAAAAAAAATCATAAGTTATTCAAAAATAAATTTTTTAATAGCAGATAAAATAAATTTTCAATACGTACAAATGATTACAAGACGGGATCATATTCATCGGAGAATTCGAATGAGTTACATCCAGTCCTATAATATTTCATACATAAATGATTATCCGTGCATGCTTATTGAAAATCGAGCAATTTTTTATTATCGTCTGCCGCCAATACTTTGCCAATTCTCTTTAAAAGGAAAACTCTAAACTCATCGTCCAGAGTTGCCACAGCAGCATCACCGTACTTGGTTGCAATCAAATTTAATTCAGTCACTTTATATCTTTTGGATAATTCCAGATCCTTTATTTTTTTTGTTTCGAAGATTTTTTTGGCTGAGTTTTTAAATTCTGATAGATCCATTGTTATTCACAAAAAAAAAAAGATATTCTTCAGCTTACAAAGATTATCAAATATCAAAAAACATTTTGTTTGAGAGGGATTTTCTAACCCAAAAGTCTTAGCATTTATAGTACTTTTAGCCTTAATTTTATCCCTACTATTTTAAAAATTTACCCTCTCTTTGCTAACTAAAATTTTCGACTTTTCCTCCCCCCATGCATTTAGAAAGGCATTGATGTACTCTCAATGATTTTCCATCTGAAGTTATCAACTGTTTTTCCTACTACTTGTAAAATGCTCAGCTCCTTTACTAACAGATTTTCATTTGCCCTCACCCCATGCATTTTGGGAGGAAGCGTTGATGCACTTTCTCATGATGCGCCATCCAGTGCATCGGCTTTTCTCTTTTCTTCCACGGTCGAGGGAAGAGGGGGGCGTTCACATCTTAGAGGTCATTGGCGTTCTGCTCTTATGAGAAATGTTTGTCGGATGCACCTTTTAAACATTTTATATATTTTCCAATAAATATTTAATGTTTAATTTGTCGAATAAATTTTTCTATATCTAAACGGGTGAGTAAACAAAGATTAATATACGTATATAATCATCATGCTACATAATTTTCACTCAGTCAAAATGAGTGAGTATACGATGGACTTCAAGCGGATTAACAATCTTCATGATCGCTTGCTCTTACAATAAGAGTCACTTTGTCGTTATTTTGAGCAACAAGAGCAGTGCGATAAATAATACATCATCTACAACAACGACAACATCTTCAAGATCAACTCCACTTGCTGCGACAACGACAGCGTTCTCAAGAGCAACATCATCGACTTCAGCAGCATGATCATCGTCACCTTTATCATCGGCGGCAGTACCGATAAGGATTATGAGCATGCACTCAAAGTATGGTCTCGCTTTAATACTAAAACATTAGGTGATTATAATAATTTATATTTAACTATAGATGTTTGTCTTCTAACTGATATATTTGAAAATTATAGAATAAATTGTATGAGAACTTATAATTTAGATCCTTTACATTACTACACAGCACCTGGATTAGCATTTGATGCAATGATTAAATGCACAGGTACTGAATTAGATATTTCATATGATGCTAAAATGGTATTATTTATAGAAAAAGGAATTAGAGGTGAAGTATCACAATGTTGTAATAGATATGCTGAGGCGAATACTGGATGTATGGGTGACGATTATCAGCCACATAAAGAAGTATCATATTTAATGCATTATGATGTAAATAATTTGTATGGAGCAGCCATGAGCTCTTCTTTACCATATGGTTCTTTCGAATGGTCTACGACAGAAATCGATATTATGACAATAAGCGATAATGATCTTACTGGTTATATACTTAAAGTTGATTTGGAATACCCTCAAAGTTTATTTGAAAGACATAAAGATCTGCCCCTATGCCCTGAGCATTCCCGAGCACCTAATTCAAAGCATTCCAAATTAGTCACAACTTTGTATAATAAAAAAAATTATTTTATTCATTATAGAAATTTAAAACAATGTATCGAATGAGAATTAAAAGTAACAAATATACATAGGGTTTTGAAATTTGAACAATCTCGCTGGCTAAAGCCATATATTTGAATGCAGATAAAAGAAAAGAGGCGAGAAATGATTTTGAAAAAATTTTTTTTTAATTAATGAACACTGCTGTTTCCGGTAAAACTATGGAAAATGTTAGAAAACATAAAAATGTCAAACTTGTTACAGAATAAGAAAAACGTTACGGTGTAAATTATTGGATATCTAAAACTCATTATCATTCTATTGTAATTTTTTATGTAAATTTGGTTGCGATAGAACTTAAGAAAATGAAAGTAATTTTTAATTAGCCTATATACATCGGATTCTGTATGCTCGATATTTCGAAAATTTATATTCATGATTTTCATTATGATTATACCTTTTAAAGTATCCTCTTGAACAAGCGAAATCAATGTATACTGATACTGATAGTTTAATCTATTATTTTATAAATCCTGATATCTATGAACATATAAAAGAGGATATAGATGAATTTGGTACTTCAGAGTATAAGAAAGATAATATGTGGAGTATACCTTTAGCAAATAAAAAAGTTATTGGATTAATGAAAGATGAAAATAATGGTAAAATTATGACACATTTTATTGATTTAAGAGCTAAAATGCATTTAAGGTGAGAAATGATGAAGATGAAAAAAAATCTAAAAAATTAGAAAAAGTAAGGGATAAAGTAAAAGCTAAAGAAGTGAAGTTATTTGTGATAAGAACATTACATTTGATCATTATTAAGAATTTTTATTTAATGATAAAAAAATATCTCGATTCAAGCATCATATAGTTATTGGAAAACATAAAGTGAGTACAATTTCTCGAATAAAAAAAGCTTTGAACGCAGAAGATAATAAGCGAATGGTGCACGAAGGGAAAACTGATACATTTCCATGGGAGTATAAGAATGATAATATAGCTATTACATTGAAAACATAGGAAAAAGGGGATAAAAGAAAGAAAAAGTAAATAAGAATTATGTTTTTATTTATTAGGAGCGTTTATTGATACAAATTGTATGTTTTTCATTTAAATTAATAAAATTACAAATCTTTTATATCTATCCAACTGTTATGTGATTTATCAAATCCTAACCATTTAACATAGACTTTATTTTTCTGCTTTTTCAACACTTTTTCAACAACGTAGACATCTGGATACTGGACTTTGGTTAATTCCTCGGTGTAGAATCGTCCTTCAATCGGCTGATCTTGATAATCAAATAATTCATATGTCACAGGTCTTGTATTTTTGATGGGTTTAATGGTAAAAATTTCAGTTGTCCAATTAGGTGTATATTCTTTTTCGAATGCGTATTTATATTTACTTATACGCACTTTATCTTTAATTTTAAATTTCAATTTCAAACGTTTATTTACTGAATGTAAATGTTCTTTATAAATATCTTAAAGCAATTGTTTTTCATTATTAACTGTTACATCTTTTGGTTTCATCTCAATAGTACTATGTATTGTATTATTATATGATTTCATTAGAGAAGGTAAAATATTAATCCATTTATAATTTCTTCGTATTGTGAATTGTTTTCACATTTTATTTTTTTAAGTACGATTAAATCGTTCACATATAGACGCCTTTAGATTTGTAAACGTTGAATACATTTCTATGTTGTATCGCTCCATAAGTGTTTGAAATTCTTTATTATAAAATTCTTTGCCTCTATCCACATGTAATTTTTGAGGTACTCGTTTCTGTATTAACACTGATATCATAGCATCGGTGACATCTTTTCCATTTTTTGTTTTCACCGGTACAGCCCAGGCATATTTTGAGAAAATATCGATAATTGTTAAAATGTATTTGTATCTACTGTTGGTGAATAAGTGAGCAGTTAAATCAACCAAGTCCGCTTGCCATGTTTCATCAAGACCTTGTATATGATCTTTTCGATGTTTGAAATTATTTCTTGCAGGTCTATGCAGTTCATCGGCAATTACTTTTTGAATTTTTTCCATCTGATTCATTATTTCAGGTTAGACCACTAAGCAAGAAATTCAATGATTGTGATGATTTCAAGAGTGCTTCTTGTCGCCTTGATTTTTCGAAAAGGTCTATTATAGCTTGTCGACATACATTAAAATGTGATGTCATTAAATCAGTGATGGCATCGAATTTCGAAAATTTAGAATCGGTACATTCTCTCTGCGATTGATTTTTGTTCAAAATTATCCAAGTTCTTCTTTAAAGTAGATATAGATTCTCTCAATAATGATGTTTCATCATGCGATAAATCTATTGCTTCATTCAAATCTGCCAACAGTATTTCATGTAAGTTTTTAAATTCTTGATGCACAATATTATTAGCACTCTTCAATGATTCATTTAAATCTATTGGATCAGCTATCAGAGTAGATTCTTAACGCTCTCCAAGACGACTCATGTTTTTTTTCAGAAAATGATGTAAACACCACAAAAGTTAACAGAATACTGAATAATTATTAGTTTCTGACTATACTTCAGATTATATACCTTTTTTAAGTATCATCTCTAATTCATCCAACTTGGTTTAAAGTGCTCTTAACTTTGAATTTATTGTATAAATTGAATTGGATGTGAAAAATGTATGAGTTTCCAGTGTATTTCTACTGATGCTGCTACTTCATTTTTAACTTTAAATGCTATATCCGTTGTTTTTCTATTATGTCCTTTTACTCCATTATCAAGTAATTGAATTTGCTTTTTCAATTCTTCAAAGTATCATTAAGGACTTGTTTCATTAAGGAAAACATGATTGCTTTTAATTTTTTCAAGTACATGCAATTATAGATCAGACTATTCTCTGTTAGTCTGCCAATTTTTATTCCATAATATTAATATTGAAACAAGTTACAGATTTTAGAAAGTACAAAAAAATGCATTCTTTCTGTACCTTTTGCTCTTAAATTGATGCTCTTATAATTGCCCGTAAGCTGATTCGCGGTTTTTAATTATTTTAAGTAGATGGAATTATACATCAGACTATTTTCTATTAGTTTGCAAATTTTTTGTTAATATTGATATTAAAAAAAGTTACAAAATTTAAAAAGTGAAAAAATCATGTTTTCTGTCACTTATTTTCTGTACTGGATGCTTCCGTGCAAGTTGTGTCTATCTTCTTTTGCTCCTTAAATATTTTACCTATTTTAAGCTTTTTTATGTGTAATTCTTTTATGATGTTTTTTGAAAAATATAGTTTTTTTCTTACTTTTATATGTTTAAGCCTATATATGAGAAGAAAAGGTTTACGATGGATTATCCTTGCCGTTAATGACTGTCATAAACATAAATCATAAACACCTGCATGATTTTTTGAATGTTACGTATTTTCGCGGTTTCTTTTTTTTTGCTATCTATTCTTCGCGATACATTCTCTATAATTTTTTTCTTTTATGTCGATATTGTCTCATTATTCTATTATCATTTGGGGCCGAGATATTGTCCTTTGATATTATTTGTTGTTACTTTTTTGTTTATTATAAAAAAATTTTTTTTCAACTTAATTTTATTTTTAAACGTCTTCCCTAACTACGATAAAATTTTCAATTCGATCCCTATATTTTTCGCATTGCTACGATCGTGTAAACTTCCCTCATGAAAAATTGACCGCTAAAAACATGGTTTTTTACTCTAAAAAATTCTGTAACTCGCGAAGTTTTCAATTCATTGCATTGAAATTTTCAGAGGAGTTGTAGAATCGGTTTCTCTTTTCATTGATTTCTCACGCAACTCAATGAGATTATTATTTTCCTTTATATCGCTTTTAAAAGTGAGGGGCCTATAATTTTTACGCCCATAATCGGAGTTCAATATTGACCATGACAATTGATACTCATTTTTTTTAATGTAGTGTATAAACTATGTGGTAGCTACTACTCAAATGAGAGAAACTCGATTCTTGATTCATATATCATAGAAATTTTGGGTAAATTTTGTGTAAAATTTTTAGTGAAAAAAAAATTGTCAGTGAATTTCGAGTAAATTTCGGTTAAAATTTTTACTTTATAACATTTGCTTCCCTAAGCTCTTCAATAATTGAGATGATCTCGTCTGAATGAACATTATTTCCCGCATTGTAGGAGACTACATCATTCCAGTAGGTAAAATTTGTTGATTAATTTTTTAATAAGATTTTATATTGAGGTAATAATTTTCTCATTTTGATTGATAATCCACGACTAATATACTTTGCAACATACATATTGTATTTTTTACTATGATTACTTCTCAGCTCTTGATTTGGATTATAATTTGTTCGAGCCAAGTTCGTCTATTTAGTAATTTCGCCATAAATTTTTTCATCTCTTTCATCAACAGCAAGTTTATTAGGTAGTTTTTTAACTTCTCACTGGGAAGTTATAGTGATGGTGCCAATTTTGGGAATCCCGAATTTTGACATATCTCCACGTTTTAAGGTCCCCAGAGTCGAATACGATCGTTTTCTAGTAGACGTCTATGTGTGTATGTACGTATGTGCGTTCGGAATTATTTTTCGCCTCGATTATCTCGAGAACAAAAAATGATATCGACGTGAAACCAACTGCATTCGACACAATTGAACATTGTTACTTAAAAATGATTATTGATCATGGTAATATTTAAATAATAAGTTTTAACTTGTTATAAACAATAAAAATTGGGACCCTCTCTATATATATGAGTACCTTTAACGCATAATTTTTTCTTCTACTAAAAAAATGTTACCAACCGTATGACATAAATGAAAACATACTTTTTGTGTGTGTAACAATGAAATTTGTTGTAAATAATGGAAAAAAGGATCTATGAGGCATATTCGAATTTTCTTAACGCACAATTTTTTCTTTTACTGAAATAAAGTAACCAACCATATCAAATGAATAAAAACACATTCATTTCGTTTATAAAAATTCCATTTGTTATAAAGAATGGAAACGGGTTTTATTCGAATTGTTTTTTCATTTTTTCCACTGGGAAGTTGGTCGTGTCGACCTTTCAGGTCGCACCCAGACCACTGCAGAGCACTGATATTTAAATAATAATTTAAGTAGCCCAGGTGTGCTTTTATGAACTCGATCAGCAATAAGAATTTTATCACCCTGAAAAACAGGGCATTTCCTCGAAGTTTCCGCACGCTACACATTGTATCCATATTTTGATCATTATCTCTAAGCATTTTTTTGTATTCATTTATTATTTCAGTTATCTTGAGGGGGGTGCTTAATATCATACTCGCTGTAGGCTTTTGTCGTTGATCTTTTTCTTCTTGTTCTATAATTTCCATTCTTTCTACTGATCCCTCCTTTCCCCCTCAACCACTCATTCTTCCTTGCCTATAGATTCTCTATCTTTGCTTCTGCTGCGCTTTCTGCTTTTTTATTTTGTACTTCTGTATTTTCTATCATTTCACGTTCCAAATTATTTATAGGGATTGGTTTTCTTATAGCTCTTAATATTGCTTTAACTTCTTTGCTTTGATTGATTTCTTCACGTTTCTTTTTTTTCATGTTATCGTCATAAATAGAGAGAATATCCAGCTTTTGACGATTGAATTTTCTCTTTCTCGAGGTGGCATGTTGTCTTTCATTCTTTGATATATTTACATTATCATCGTTCAATAACGGTATTTTAGGAGAGATGTTTTTTTTTTCATTTTTAAGTTGATGTACTGATGTCACTACGGGCTTAAAAAATTCATTTAATGAATATTGACTATCATTTTTCCCATGCTTATTCATTTCATGTTTTCGACGCATAACATCACTGATTTTCGTCAATTTTGCCAAGACATTGACTGCCTCCTTCAGTTGTCCACTCAATTCACTCATATTGATGATGTTTACTTGACAAACAATTATTTATAAATGTATATTTTCAGAATAAAGCATTCAATTTATACATATAAAACAATCAAAACTTCTTCTATATCGTCCATTATTGATTTCACTATCTTTATCGATGACGAGAAAACTATAATTATATTTATACCAACATGAAGTACACAAATCTTTAAATTAATGAAATTTCATATCTGTTTTAACGTGATCATTATATATATGCCGTAAATTCATTTTATCTTGTCAAAAGAGAATGAGAAAATTTACATCATCCCGTATTAGATGTTTTGGGATTCTCGCATAAGTTTGACAAAGATAAAAACTATCAACATCTTTGTGACGACCCATACGAAAATATACTCGAATATTATCTTGCTTCTCACAAGCTATATTATCAAATATCATAATGAAATTAGGTTGAGCATCATCTGTCTTTACAACTTGTTAATTATCATTGAATGGAAAAAAACCAACGTCATCAATCGGCTCGAGAAGTTTTTCCAAGTATTTATATTTAGGTTGATGTAATGATTTAGAATACAAATAAATATTCCCAAATCTTAATCTATTTGAATAAGTGATTAGAGCCAACAGTGCATTTGTTTTTCCACCATTAGACAGTCCAGAAATAACTGAGCGTATAGTATTTGGTAATAATTTACTATTACGTTTGGTCTTTGTATTTTGTTCCATTGATATAGTTTTATCAAAATTTTCTACAGATAATTTCAAATCTTGTGGTTCAAACTTCATATCGATAATGACTAAGCGTAAAGATTTAAATATCGTCACTTTTATAGTTTTTATTGAGTTGAATAGTGACTGTTAAGAGAAAAACATCTAAAAAAGGAGCGGGAATACGAAATAAAGTCATTAATAATTCACCTGTTGAATTACCTGTCCCAGGCTACCAATTTTGTGGACCGGATACAAAATTACAACAACGATTAACTCGAGGTGATCAAGGAATCAATCCATTAGATACTGCTTGTCTAACACATGATATAGCATATTCTCAGAATAGAAAAAATCTATCCGAAAGACATTTAGCAGATAAAATACTTGCTGAAAGAACGTGACAACGAGTACTAGCTAGAGACGCTGACTGAGGTGAAAAAATAGCAGCGTGGAGTGTTGTGAATGCTATGAAATTCAAGACAAAATTTAGAATA